TATTGGTATTTAATACCAGTTGTAAAATTTTTCTTTGCAATGTAAGTATGCACTCCTTAAAATCCTATTTCCACTTATTTGAAAACAAGGATGTAAATTCTTAATATTCAATATACATAGATTTTATATATTATTAATAACTAAAGATACTTTTTACGTTTAGGTTCCTGTTAGATACATGGCAATATTTTATGCATAGATTATTCCATCAAAATGCATTTCTTTATCGCCACATTCACTCTCGGCATCATCGATTGTATGCACCTTACGCTTTTGGAGCACTTTACAATCATCCTATAGAAGGCTTCTTGTTTGATTCTCTCGGCGCTACTATTGCGTTTACATTATCAGGATTATCAGTTAAAGGCGCGATTGCTTTTTTTACGTTTTCGACTTTCAAAACTGGCATGTATTTTCCAATATTCTAGAGCATTGATCATGTATGTTTACAAGTGAGCTTTGATGATAACGATCTCATGTGTCGTACAGTCGATGACCATTCAGGTTATGATATACCATTCAATCCTATACAGAGAATATTTGGAAATAACGCTATTTAGTAAGCTTTTATTTAGTTTTTATTTTAAATTCGAGCTTTTTTTTTCTTTGCTCAATTTTATTGTCTTTCCGGAATAGTCATGATATTCATCATCAAACATATGGATTGAAAAAGAATTTTTCACAACCGTTTTTTACCTTCTGGGATCGCATTTTTGGAACTTACTTGCCTTATCATGAAGTACCAAAAGTTTTGGAAGAGGATTCGCCTAGAGATATTGCCGATGATGACGATGATCCCCAAGCCTTGAAAAAGTCTAAAACTATGGAATCCAGAACTTCGTCTAAAAGATACAATTTGAGATCGAGAAAAAATATTTCCTAAAAATGGTTTTGGATTGTTTTGAGGTAGAAAAAGAAATTTAATTTATCTTTAAGAAATCACTGGGATAATTGTTTTTTTATTTTATTTTTTGTAGTTATCAATTACATGGCCCCAATTGTATTTATATGATTGTATATTAATATATAAGAACATTCTGTAGTTTTATTTGACTAGAATTGAAAATTATTTATGAATCTATCATTTTTCGCATATATCTCATTACTAATAATAATAAATAAATGTATAAAAGATTGTTTTACATCTTATTTTTGGTATATTTGAAATCACATCCATATTTGTCACATTCACGCTATAGTCACCTTAATTTTTTTTTGCACAGTCACGACAACACTTCAAGTGTCTGACTTGAATATGCGACTATGGCAGGAGTAAACTTTATAACTAGAAAATTTACTTATACGATGACGGTTTAATTGTAGTACTGATATAATCATACTTGATGTAAATTGTGTTACGTTGCGTACGTACGGTTATGATAAATTACGTCCTTCGTGGACGGTCTTCCCCCAGCACTTAGCAAACAAATATAGAAAGCAATCAAAATATTTATGATGTCAAAATATTAACACAGATTACTAATTTTAAAAATTACGATCTTTTATACGTATTATTACTCGAGTTACTCAAGGTATTGTTTATAGAGATTCTATATTACTATTTGTAATAGGGATGCTAATCGGTTCTTTGGGATCGAGTCCTAACCGATCCTAGCCGATCCTTTCAAGGATTCGGTCCTTAAGTCACATGAAAACATATGGGGGTGAGTCAATAGAAATTTTTTATAACTTTAAACAAAAATAACTCAACAAAACTTAATAAATATTTTTTTAAATGATTTTTACAAGCTTGTAATTAATTTTAAAAGAAATTTATTGAATTTGATCAAGCTTTTGTTAAGCTATTCTTGTTTAAAATTTTAAAAAATACTTATTAAAAAATATTTGCTTGGTTTCTATTGACTCAACCCCATATAATACATTTATATGAACTTATTCAGAAGATCCAATTTAGGTTCTGTATCCTGTATGAATGTATTGTATTTTCACGTGATTTAAGGATTTGGTCCTAGAAGGTCCTAGGATCGGATCGGACCAGACTCGTAATTTAACATCCCTATACGCAGGGGCGTTATTTTGAATAATGGCCCGAATTATGCTTAATTTAGGCCAAAATTCGAAATTACACCCTTCGCGTTATTTCGCGCTTATACGGTATAAACTAGGGTTGTAATAACTTACCTGACAATGTAATTTACATTATAACTTACATCGTAAGTTACATGACACTATGTAAGTTACAAAATATAGCAGACCGGCTTTGATATTAATGCCGGCTAGAATAAATTTAGCCAACATTAAGGTTAAAGGATGAAATTTTTATTATTATTGTTTGGAACGAAGTGACAGATCTTTAGTTTATATGCATTGTGATACACAAGTTACTTTCTTGATACCTCGAATATTAGAATATCAAAAAAGTAACTTTGTATTTTCTGTCTGTCTAGTCATATAACAAAATATAATAATATTTACTATATATTGTCTTT